GTCAAATTTGACTTTATACAATGATATTACAAAAACCATAGAACAAAGAAGTTAATTTTGTTCACATTGATTAAGCCAGTCTTTGGATCATATTGTCATCTTGTTTATTAAGTGGAGTAGGAGGCTTTCTTCTTTACAAGTTCATTCCAGAGTTTTTCAACAGCATCAGCTGTGGCATTCGATAGTAACAACATTAGGCAAGCTAAATTTAATGCAGTCAGTTTGTAATGCTCTAAAATCTGGAGAGAGTACTGTTGTGCTTCCCTCCCAAAAATGTGATTCATCTGTAGAATAGTCATCGCATTCTTCTGAATTCATGGCAATCTGCCTCAGGGTCATAATTATTTAATCCACCATTGAGTTTACTAGCCTATTTTACATTTCAGAAGAGTGTCTCTATCTGTTGATACTGTATGTGTGTCTATCATATGCAACTGGTCTGAGACAGGCCAGTTAATGTGATCCACATGGCCAGATTATGCACTATCACCAACAGTTTTACACTCTCATATCTGTATGTGTTAATTAGCTCTGAATTGAAGTTCTCTCTGTGGGATTACCTGTATGGCAGCTACCGTGTGTCACAACCCAGAATTCTAGTCTGCCTGTGTCTGCACTGCAGCCCAGATTGAACTAGGGAATAAAGTTTAGTAGTCATACAGTACTGTGTCCTTTGCTCAGGAGGTGACACCATGCCATTCATTAGTCTGTTGACCTCACACAAATAACGCAGAATAACACACAGTCCAAGTACAATAGATTGCACAGATTACAAGATGGTGTGTTTCGCATAGTAAAGAGATTCCTGTTTATTATATTAAGAAAAAGATTACTTGGCCCTCATGCATGCTAATAAATCCCAGTTTTCTAATCCCTCTTTACACATTACAGATTGAAATATTCCTTTACACATTTGCCTCTTGATGCATGTGTAGATCACACCTGTGATCCAAAAGGAACTGTACAGGATATACACTAGCTACTGTATGTGAATCTGTGGGTATGTAATAGACAAAAGTAAAGAGTCATGGAGAGTAAAGGATAGATTTATGTCCAGAAACAGAAGAGTAGTGAAAGATATTTTATGTATACTTGAGGGATGGGTGGAAGTTGGTGAAATGATGAAGGAAATACTCTAGTTGATCCTTAGAGCTCATCATCGATGTAGAGGTCAATGACAAAGCCGGTGCAGGAACTAAAGAAGCATTCTTCTACCCAGCCGACATATACAGTATATTACCATAGCTGAGTCCCATGCTGGTGCCCATGGCAGCTACGCCAGCCTGCTGATAAAAAAGTATATTGTGCAAGATGGCATTCTACAAGACGTACAGTACAAGAGTGTGGGTAGGTGGATCAAGCACTGTGCTTTTGTCCAGCATGTGCTTGAGGGCCGTAAGACCATCATTGTGGGGAATGACATCTGCCTTTGCTGTTAGCAGAGACCCAGTGTGTTATTTGGTGTGGGTTGGGTTAGGGATATACTCCACCAGTATAGTGTCCAGAATTGCCTATATCCTTGTCAGCTTTATGTTGTTTTCTGCTAAAATTATGCAGCCATGTGCTGGAATCCTTATACCTTTAATTTTATCCAAAGTGATATTTTTAAGCAGTTGTTTTTGTTTAAAATAGTACTTTTTCACTATACTTCATTTTTATTTTAAGATAGTGTATGTGCACATTGATAGCATATACATCCAGGTAATTTTGAACAGATTGTTTTAAATTACTACATTAATTCATACTTTTTGAACTTAACAGGAGTTAAGTGGTCACAAGTATTGAATGTTTCACTCTAAAGAGTAAACTGAATCATTGAGAAACAAACACCCAGCTCACAATCCAGTAGTTGAAAGAAATAATTAATTCTGACAATAGCTTTATCTATACTCTGGCTCTATTAGACACCCTATATTGGATAAAGTGGTAAGAAAGCAGATGGATAGATGGAATAGCTGTATTACAAAAGGTGTTCACAGTGGATTCTGTCTAAAGCACCCAAAACAAAGACCACCCAAGAGAGAAATTGGACCGTCGAGCCAGTTACAATACTCTCCATATTTATTCATAACCCTGAATATTATTAAATGAAATTAAGACGTTTAAGACTCCTGGTGTAGTGGGGAAAAGACACAGGTATCTTGACACCACCGACTGTGAGACAAGTGGTTCAAGAGCCAACTGTAAATCCAAAGGCAGCATTTGGAGATCTCCAACATATGCTGGTATCTTCAGGATAAAAAGCATCGATGACTGCGATGAGTTTCATGGCAGGATTGCAAGGATGAAGTTTCATCTGAGGGTAAACCACAAAAAGAGGCAGCTTTGCAGACTACAATTGAATAACAATTGGAACCAAGTCTTATGGTCTAATAAAACTAAAAACGAGAGTTTTGTACATGCTCATCAGCATTATGTTCTAAATGAAAAAGGTGAATGTTTCATATTCAGAAAACACACATGCCCACTGTGTTCTAGGGTTGTTTTGCATTTTAGGGTTCTGAAGCCCTTGTCATGATAGGGGAAATCATGAACTTCAATACATACCAGGATATTTTGGCCAAACACCTGGTTGCCACTGCCAAGAATCTCAAGCTTGGCTGAATGAACATTCCAGCATGACAGCGATCCAAAGCATACATTCAAATAAACAAAGACATAGTTAAATACACTCAAAATAAATGTTCTCAATTGCCCATCTCAATGTCCAAACCTCAGTCCAATCAAACATCTGTGGTTGGAATTCAAGAAGGCAGTCTACAGACGGAAACCAAAGGGCCTGAAGGCTCCAGAGCCCATCTGCCTGGAGGAATGGTCACAAATCCTCTTTGGAAGTGCCTCACTGCAGACTAGAGGAGGCATCTAGTCAGTGTAATTCATGACAGACGAGGACATAGGAAATACTGACTACAGGGGTGTGAGCAAATCTGACTCTTGTGTTTTCTGGTCATTCTGGTAATTAATTATTAATAATATATATATGCTTGTGCAGATTTATTAACATTAAAATATCACATTTTTTTGTAAATCCTATTTCTTTACATGTGAATATATCTGGAAAACACTATAAATACTCATGCGGGCTCTTCTTTGGAATGGTTACAATAGAAACAATATCATAAACTCTGAAAACCTAGTTTTCAGTCTTTGCACTAAATAATGTATTTGACATAATGTACAGCTATTTAATGAACTTGGTAACTGAGTGATCTAAGGTAGACCTTACATATTGTTTTGGAAGACAAGACACGATAAGAAGGAATACAGTATTTCACAGATTGCCTTTTGGTTGCTCAAAGACCTAAAGACCTAAAATGTTGTTCTTATGTTGTTCTTATATAACCTCAGTTTTTGTTTTGTTTTATTTTCATTCATTTGCGTCATTTAGACAGCAAGCAAGGAAATGCATAGCTTTAATTGGTTTAGTGATTACGGATTTTAATATTTTCTTCATTCCATAGCTCAGTTATCTCTGTAGAGGTAATAATAGTACTACACGTTTAACTTCCAAATTTTGTGCTGTATTGTTTAAACCATAGATTAGATTCTGTCTTGGTTAAGCTGTGATTGGTCATGTTGAGGTGAATCACAGCAACTTGTTTGGTTGTTCTAATATGTCCTTTTTAGTCAATTTCATGCTGCACTATATTGCTACACAGAAGAAATTACACTTTGCTATGAGGTTCAGAGCTTTAATTTTTTTAAAGCTATACTACCAGTACTGTATGTTTTTCATAAAGTGTTAATAAAGATGAAGCTTGTGAAACTATTTTTCAGATTTTTTCTTCTTGAGCACAGATATCTGAGCTACTGCTCTGTCAGAATGTGAACCAAATCTGCGACCAGTGGTTCATCCAAATATCAAACCTTAAGTTTTCCTTCTGTATTTCTTTTCATTTTTTTTTTCTCAGAAATGTCTTACCATAAGTTAATGATAAAGTTCAGTTGCAAACATTTATTTTTGGGGGATATAAAGCCTAACTAAGTATGCTGTAGTGTGATTAGTGCTGTTTGGTGTACTATACACATATAGTATCATGAAAGGCATCGTGCTCTGTGGGGTTCTTATGATTTAAGAAGAAAGAAAAAAGTTTCAAATAAGCAGGTCAACCTGTAGACTCGTCTCTAGACTCGGTGTAGAACCGAGTTAAATCCAGATCTGTCTAGTCAAAGTGTTGGGATCACATTGTGTCCATTTTGTAGATGAGCCAGTCAAAGAACAGAAAATTTCCTAGTTCTTCCATGTTTTTTATCTTTTCATCTTGCGACTTTCACAGCCGTTCACACACGACAAAATCCAACAAATTGACCAAATTATTTGAAATCGTGGTACTCTCCTTTGGAAAATGTTTTGCCTTTGAAATGGATCAGAAAACGAGCTCCCTGTCATGGTAAGTTAAGTGAGAAAACTGCCACAACAACTACCCAGAGCTTTCCTGTGTGGTGCAAAAGACCTGGAATGGTGATTTTTTTACAAAGCTGTTTAAAATTACTCAAACAGGTAACATGGTTGAGAGGTTTTTTACATTTAGTATTAAGGAAGAAACTTCTGTGGCTAACGAGTAGCCTGATCGAATTCTTAACATCATTTATTGTGTCATTTGTCCCCTTTCCTCCCCTAGATGTCCCACTGGATTCTTCGGGCCCCGGTGCTTGCAGACAGAGCCATTGCGGTTATACATGCCCAATCCTAATAAAAGTATGTTCGCTAAAAATGACCAGAAAGATATCATTGGGGTACCACTGAAACTGTAGCTCCCTCCAGTTCAGAGCTTCAACTAAAATAACCACTATTGCTGATCCGATGAGAGAAGCAACAAGCTCACTGTCACATCTTCACAGAAGGAAAGAACCCAGTGGTCTCTCCAGTGGTATCGAACTCTGCTTTTGCTGTCCGGGTTTGCTCTGTTCTAATTTCATGTTTTCTGCTTTCTTGTTTCTCTCTCTCCTCTTTCTCTCTATTTCTTTCCTTCTCTGTGGTTTTGTTTCCTTCCCGTCAGGTGTCCAAATGACTTTAGAGGTGATCGCTGTCAAACCTACGTTATGGACGGTTTCTACCGTATGTTCATTTCTTCTTCTGTCTGTCTATCATTAATGTTGCATGGTGGAGTTGAAATGTGGCATGCTTCTGTGTTTATTTTAACTGTTGCCCATTTGTATGTGTTTGTTGATTTGTTAGTATGCTACTTTACAATAACTGTGTCCTGCCCGACAAGCGAAGCATTCCTATCAGCGTACATGACCAATAAACCTCAGCGTGTCTCAGCATCGTACTGCATAAAATGAACAAGAATTAACACGAGTAGTAAAGCATGCAATTGAAAGTACGAACCTTGATCAAGAGATATAACAGCATGTGCTTTTGAACAAATACTAATCTAGCTTAACCACTCAAAGATGAAGGTTAAACTAGTTCGGGTAACTGCTGTTCTGCTTATGCATTTTCAGCAGCGCTATATCTCACAGGGATCTCTTTTCATGATGTGAACAAGGGCTGCCCAGTGCATTGTGTTGCATTAAGTACCCTTACTGTAGCACTGTTATCTGCTTAACTGCAATCCACATCAAAATGAATTAGAGAAGTGCGTGCAAAATATGTTGAAAGCAATTATGTCTCTAGGCCACTTGGCTGATTTTACTGGTCTCACATACTGTGAAACGGATATGTAACAGAAATGTGATGAAAAAAGAATATTCCCAAAATATTTTTGCCTTTTTAATTTAGACAATAGTGTAATACACGCAGGCATTATAAAGAATTGTTTGAATGACAAGTCTGTTGAGAACAGCAGCTTTTTTCCCTGAGCCAAATATTAAAAAGAAAAATATAAAACACCTTGGTTTTTTAAGTATGACTCACCACTGCAGAAAGGGACCATTTATCTTTTGAACTGGTCGTTAACAGCAATTACCCTTTGGAATTTGCCCGATGCATTAGCTATTGCTTGTAAGATACTTTCAGATTATTTTCTTCCTTGATACAGTATATCTTCTAATCTTAAATAAGGGGTTGAGCTATTTTAACAGTATGCCTGGAAGCTAAAACAAGCCATTGTGCTTCCCTTAGTTCCACTTTTCCTTTGAAACCTCCATTGTTTTTTTCATGGTTATGAATTAATCTGATCATCACTCGATTGGTTATTTTATTAAAAATCCTAAATTTGCCAGCATTGTGTTTTCTGAAAGAGAATCAGATTTCCCACACTAACTGAAAAGAACAAAAACTGCAGGATATTAAGATCAACATGCTAAGATTAGACATTATGTACTGTATGTATCTGTAAATTTGTGTTAACATTTGTGCTAAATGTCTTTAGTAGTAACTTGACATATGTAGTTTTCAAAAGATTTGGGGTAATTCTTAAGTCCATACATATGTACACCTTAAACCAGGAATTAATTAAGCATACTGTATAAAGAATTACCTTAAAATAGTACAATTAGTAAATTATGAAATACCATAATCAACATTTACAAATCACCAAGGTGATTTTAAAATGTATCTGAATGCCAAAACCTATTTTTAACTACTTAGCTGGTGTTCTTTTTCTGTAGTCTTAAGGAAAATAATACACCATGTAAAACAGGATTCATATGCCCAAGCTGATGTCAGCAAAATACCTGATTAATAATAAATGTATCTTATCCTCTGTGGAAACCTGTGTAAAAGTTTGAAGGATGTATAAACCTACAGTACATGGCATTATTGAAGTAAGATAGGATAATTGTTGGATGGATACTATATTGATAATATCTACTGTACAGGAACGTGAAAATTGATCACCTGTGGCAGTTTAAGGGAATTAGCAGAACCATCTAAACAATGACTTCTAATTCCACTTCCCCTATGTAAAGGCAAAGTTCGTAGCCATTATGTTTCATCAGCATGACTAAAGCTCACTTTGTCCAGAGAAAAAGACATGCACTGTATGTATAAGGAGGGGTGAATTTTGAGTTTTATGATGTTCTATAAGAGCAAGCATTTGCTACGGGAACTATGGAAATGAAAACATTAATTTGTTCAATAAAACTATAAAGCCAAAATGTTTAAAAAGGCTTATAATTTTGATTTGCATACAGTATTATTTCCATTCCCATAGTTATTAGTCTTTAATAATAATTAATTAACTTACTTTTAAGACAACAATACCTACAATATGCCCGTTGCAAGACAAATAGACAACAGACAATGCATACACATCTAAAATAGCAAAAGTTTTCATCTTTCTCCTTTTCAAAGTGGAATCAAACTCCACTTGTAGATAGACTGATTACACTTAATCAAAATAAAGATACCTTTTGTTGCAACAGCAGCAAATCTTTTGGATTTCTGCAGCAGTAACATCCTAAAATTTGTTAAGCCCTGCATGTCATGTTTGAGTTAAACAAAGCAGCATGAGTATAATTAATAATCATCATATTAACCTTAAATAAAGATGGAACAATGCTTGAGGCATGATGCATGAATGAAAAACAAAAGTATCCTAACTTACAGTACGCCAAATCAGTTGACTGCCAAAGACATACAAAAGCCAAAACATGTGAAAACAAAACAACAAAGCTAAGACATAACTGAATTTTTTTTTTAACAAAAAAGAACTGTTTATCTCCTTCTAGGCAGGGAGAAGACATGATTAATGACAAGATGTAGAAACCTCACAATTTGCAATACAAGTGCACTCTGTAGCTATGAAGGAAATTAATAGGTGCAAGTACGAGGCAGGTCTTGTTGCTATTGACATGGAAATAGCTGTTGGGGCCATGACAGAGATATTCCTTGATAACATGCAAGGGAACTCTAGGCTCTAGAGAATACTTGCATAAGATTTATTTTTTAAAGCAGACCCTGACAGTGAGCAGAACAAATTTAAACCACAGGTCCTTATCATGCACTTCAGAAAGGAAAATGACCTAAGAGTCCTCTGATTACAAATGTGTAAACATAGAATATATTCCCCTTTAAATAAACACCTGGTGACCAGATGGCTGAAGGGAATAGTCTTTATTAATATGACTCCCTTTAAAAAAGGGGACAGCGATACAATAAAGAAACAGGTAAGTTTCAACTCAAGTCTTTAAAGCCTAGACTGCCCCATTTAAGAGTTTTACAAGGAAAAGCATATTAGTTTCAAAGACAGAAGGAACTATAAAGGTAAAAACTCTTAATGAATATACCTGCAATCAGTTGTGTAGTTTACAAAGGTCAAAGGTATGTATCCACAATTAGATTATTAGTTATAGAAATTAAAATATGTATTACATTTACAATTGATATATTTATTACTTATTCACAAGCTAATATTTCAAGTACAGCTTTTCTCTCATTATGGATTGTTTATAAGATTTCCAGCTGGCTCTGCACTTTTTACCATCAGAGACTGCTGCTCACAAAAAGAATATTATTTGGAAAATGTAAACCTCAAAACACTACAGAAAATAATCATCCATCACCCAATTAACATCGTAGGTAGCATTCTGAAACATTATAACATTTGACAATGACCGTGGCAGCCCCAAGTTCAAACTGTTCTCAAGGAGTAAAGAGTTATTTTTCAGGTAGGGTTTTTTTTTCCATTGTTAGCTCCGTTGAAAGTGACAGATTTCATGCTTCTAATGAAACAGCCCAGCTGATCCCAAAGAATTTGCCACCATTCCTCTGGGGAAGCTTCCCTCAGATCCTGCCAGTTTTTATGTAGGGTTTCAGCATTGTTGAAGACCTCTGCCAAGCACTTTCCAAAATTGTTCTGTGGGCAAGAGGCCCGGAAACGTTGCTTACCAAGGTAAGGCATGGATATTCTTTTCTGGAAGTTATAAGTAATCCTATATGCCTGGTAACTCCAGGTTTTGGCATCTTACAGTAGGTAATGAACCCATCACCAGGAAAGGGCATGATGCGTGATATTTAATGGTATCACATTAACATGCTACTGGGTCAGGATGAGCCGGATAAAATTAGAATTGCTGATGCCAGCCATAGGGATGCCATAGAGATGTCATTCAATATTGACCAGATATGAACATCGCAGCAGGAACATCACAATGGCACACCTCACTCACAGATCTTAGAAGTCCAGCATTACCCAATTACTGCATGTCTTCCCTGTCACCTACACCAGTTTCACTGCACTTGCCAAGGTCTGGCAGTAACTAGCAGAGCTACTGTAACTCCTCAAGTTCTCAGGCTTGGTGGTTCTCATCGCTGATATTGAGAGGTGGTCTGAGGCCTGATGTAGCTGCTGTCACAGCATTTTACACAGCTAGGAATGTATCATACAGTGCCCAAGTGACCATAATCAGCTATTGAGCCAGCTTTGAGATATTAAGTGGTGCAGCGGTATATGAATACAAATTATTTTGCTCTAAAGCACCCAAATGGCTCTTCACCCTTCATTTTTGTTTTGACATTGCTCAATCAGCACAGGGAATATTGCTGACTGGCTGTATCCTGGACACATTTTTTGTGCACTCTTGCACGGTGACTGTCTCATCATGACATCTAACCTAACCATGATGTTGTGACTGTGCTGTTTGTAGTTTATTGTTTTCAATATAATTGTTACTTATAAAGTAACACTTGTCTATAAATAATTTATTGCATTCAAAATGCATTAGTATGATCCTTCTGATCAGATTGATCTGACTCAAACCATCTGGGTCTTGGTGATTAGAGATAATCAGCTAGAAATAATAAAATAATCCAGTTGATGTGTGCTGCACTGAGTTTTTAGTTTGTGAAGTGACTATTTGAACCAATTCTTCATTAACTGTCTCTTTCTTATACATTAATTAATTATGTTAATTTTGCTTTAAGCAGTCAATGACATTGTTTGCGTTTTGCCCAACTTGCGTGAACATCTGTTGTTCTTGTTGGATGGAGTGTCATTATTGCCCCTGTGGTAAGTTGCATTACCATGGGCAATTATACTTTAGGTTCTAATCTTATTAGGAAAGAGTAGACTATTTTCCCCACTCTTTATCTCATTACTACCATCTGATCCTTTACTACCTCAAAAAATAAACATTGTCTCAAAGTAGCTAATACTGGCTGCTACTGTGTAC